TCTGTGGAGTGGGATAAGATCTTCATTCCTGACTTCATATTCGCCAGTCATTTGTTTAACAATGAGTTGTGAATCGCCATAAGCCTCGAGATGCTTGATCCCGAGCTCTTTGGCCAACTCGAGCCCTATGAGCAACGTGTTGTACTCAGCTACGTTGTTGGTACATGGTTCCGTTAAGGAAAAGGCTCGGGGTAACACGTGACCATGCGGAGAGGTGAGGACCACCCCCACTCCTGCAGAAATAGAGCCGCTCGCGCCTGCGCGAGACGCGCCATCGAAGAACATCTGCCACACCTCTGGCGACGAAGTCATATTGGCTTCGGGGGGTTCATCTGGCAGATCTTCGAATAGATCGGTCTTCACCCCCAGTGGGTGACTAGCCATGAGATCACAGATGGCTTGTCCCTTGACTGATTTCTGCGGCATGAAGTGGATGTCGTATTGAGAGAGAAGAAGCGCCCACCTGGCCAGGCGCCAGTTTAACGCTGCAGGTTGTGTCATGAAGACCCGAATGGGATTCATCCGGGAGATGACATGGATGGTTTGGCCAACCAAGTAGTGCCGCATCTTTTGGATAGCGAACACCAAGGCTAGACATTCCTTCTCGACCATTGGGTACCGTTGCTCGGCGCCCTGTAAGGTTCTGCTCAGGTAGTAGATGCCTTGCTCATGGCCTGCATCGTCGTTTTGAGCCAAGAGGGCACCTAAAGAGTGTTCCATTGCCCGCACATATATGAGGAATGGCCTCCCTGAGATTGGCGCCGCAAGGACAGGCGGATTTGAGAGATAAGCTTTGATCTCTTCAAAGGCCTTTTGGCATGGCTCATCCCAGACGAAGGAGGTACCTTTCTTCATCAGCTTAGAGAAGGGTTGGCACTTGCCCGAGAGATTCGAGATGAATCTTCGGATATAAGCCAGTCGTCCTTGAAGGCCTCTTAGCTCTTTAAGATTTCTGGGTGGCTGGAGCTCTTGAATGGCTCGTACCTTGTCTGGATCAATCCGGATCCCTTTCGTCGTGACGAAGAAACCGAGGAATTTACCGCTAGACATCCCCAAGAATGACTTGGTAGGATTCATCTTGAGCTGATGAGTCCTCATGAGTTCGAACATAGCCTTCAAGTCTTGGAGGTGATCCTCCTTATGGCGACTCTTTACGACCAAGTCGTCCACATAGCATTCGACCGTCTTTCGCAGATGATCTCGAAAGATCATGCTCATGGCGCGTTGGTAGGTTGCGCCGGCGTTCTTGAGCCCGAAAGGCATGACGGTATAGCAATACACCCCCATGGGAGTTCTGAATGCAGTGTGTTTCTCGTCTTCGGGGTGCATTTTGATTTGGTTGTACCCCGAGAAGCCGTCCATGAAGGACATCCTCTCGAATCCGCACGTATTGTCAATGATGACATCCGTGATGGGCAGAGGGAATTCGTCTTTAGGGCACGCGGCGTTGAGGTTCCTAAAGTCGATGCAGATGCGGATCTTGCCGTTCTTCTTCAAGACTGGAACAATATTCGCCACCCAGTCGGGGTGTTGCTCCTCTCTGATGAAGCCGGATTCGATCAGCTTCTTTACTTCAAATTCGATCGCCTCCATGACTTGGGGGCGAAATCGCCTCTGCTGTTGTTTGACTGGCTTGGTGTCAGGGCTGATGTTGAGGCGATGCGTGGCGACCCGCGGATCCAGGCCAGGCATATCCTCGTAATTCCAGGCGAAGACGTCAATGTATTCCCGTATGAGGGCGATGAGATCCTCTTTTTCTTGAGGAGGCAGACTGCCGCTGATGAATATGGGTTTGGGATTCGCCTCAGTACCCATGTTCACCTGGAGGACTTCGTCTTCAGTTGGTGGTTCGCGCTGTTCGAAGCGATTGTTCCACTGGGCGCTAATGTGGCGATCCCATGTCTCGTCGTAAAGTGGAAGTTGTTCGTCCTCCGCCATTCCGGCGGGGTCTACTGTGGCCATGTTGACTGTAAGGCCATCGAACAAATCCCTTACGCTGACGTCTGAGTCCCAAGCCGAGGTTGTTGACGATTGATCCCCTGAACATGCGTAATCGGAATCCTCGTCGACGTAAAAACACAAATCTGACGAGGAGGAGGAATAGCCTAAGCCTCTTCGGGTCCTGTTGAAGTAATTTGATGGCTTTCCTTTGGGGACGTAGGCGGGTTTGATGACCGTCTTACGTCCTCGGCCGTAATTCAGGCCCTCCAAGCGAGTGAGGTCATACCCCATGTCGCTCATCATGCGTTTCGCCACTCGACTGTATTGTGAGAACTGAGGCGCTGGGTCTTCATCCTCAGATTCGTCCCATAGCGTGCGTAGGGGATGATCGATTCGACCGAAGATGATGTCTTTTCGATACCTATTCCGTACTGGCACGACGAACACAGCTTGCGATGACTTGATCGGCTGTGTTTTGGCGACGTATGACGAACATACCGGCAAGTGTAGGGAAGACTCACTGTAGAGTGTCGACCATAAGTTATTAGATGAGTCATCCTCGAACGAGGAGTAAGACGACA